TTTTTTTTATATTAATTTAGTTTGTTTATTTTTCATTTCAATGAACATCTACAGAGATTTTGGAATTCCATTCATTCATTGTTGCACCAGGTGGCATTAGCCAGAAGATTAGTTGTTGGAACTCACCACCACCCGAAGATTATAGGTTTGGAAACCCTTTGAGACAATTTTGATCTTTCTATTTGAGTACCTGTGAGTCAGAATTGACTTAAGGGCACAAAACAACTACATTAAAGAGATCTAGAAGATGTTAAGGGAGCTCTGTTGGCCTAGTGCAGAGAGAGAGGTTGGTAAATCAAAAGGGCACGCCTCTCTGGTGGCATGAGTCCATCACCAGCTCCCAGAGGGAAGGATGAGCAGTTTCTGTCCTCTTCATCCTTCTCCTGCCCCATTGGCGGTCAGCTATGAGTAGGTTCCAATGAGTTGAGTAGATGATTACCCACCTAGAGTCTCCCATTACCTGGCCTTCATGAATGTATCTGGTCTACAAGACGTCTTCTTCAACTCCACAAACAAAGCTTTCCCGTCACTTTATCCTGGTTATAAATAACAAGTTTTATTTTCAGTATTGTAAACTATCCTACATAAAGATATAAGGGGAATATTTTCATAAATTGCCATTTTCATCCTATTACTCTTCTATTACACAAGTACTTATAGCATATTATCCTTTTATGTTGAATGTCAAATTCATCTGTCAATTATTACTGTCTTTTCCAAATTTATCTCATTAGTACCTCCACTTAATTTTCCACTTCAAAGATATTTGCTGAGTCTCTTACTAAGTACTTTCCTTTTTGTCCTTGTGAAATTCTTACAGTTAAAGTGTCATTTGCTGACTTATTAGTAATCACTCTAGGGACTCCCTTCCTAGCTATCTTAATCTTAATAGCATTAGTCAACACCTCTGCTTTTATGTATTCAGTTGTTCTCTATAATTTTATATTTACTGCATTCTATTTTTTCCATATTTATTTGTTTTTATTTTCATAACTCCAGCATCAATGGACATTAAATAATATTTAATGAAAACCTAAACCTTGTTATTTTTCTTTTGCCTTTAAACAGTACTCCGCTTGTAAAACTGTTAGCCAAAAAATGTATGCCATTTAATGATTAGGAACTTGTAGTAGTTTAGACATTATCTAAATGTCTTCTTTAATGTAATTTCTGCAGAGTAAGTTCACATTGAAGTCCAAAGCTCAGCTAACTCAATATACCATTATATGTGTAATGGAATCTAATCAGAAAAGTTGGAGTTTGGTTTGAACCTGATTATCCTATGACATTTTAATTACTCTCTGGATATGCTTAAAGATTTAATTCTTGTTCTTTTTTCTCTCTTTTTTTTCTCTACTCTCTCTCTTGGTGATAACTGGTTTGATTTTTTGTTTTATTTTTACCATTGTATTACATTATACTTTATGTGCTTATTTAATATTTATAATGTTCAAGTATATTTCTGATTGGATGAGTTATGTTTCAGATATTCTGAGAAACTTTCTTGGGGCTAATGTTTCATAAATCTTTCATCAAAACTAAAATTCTACATGTTGTTGTTGTTATGTGCCGTTGAGTCGCTTGGGACTCATAGCGACCCTATGTACAGTAGCCCTAAACTCTGCTCTGTCCTGGGCCAATTGCACTGTCTCTGATACACCCATCTCAATAACCCCAGGCACTGAATCAGTCCACCTCATAGAGGGCCTTCCTCTCCTGCGCTGTCCCTCCACCCTCCCAAGCATGATGTCCCCCTCCAAGGACCGGTCCCTCCTTACAACATGTCCAAAGTATGTCAGACGGAGTCTCAGGATCCTTGCCTCCAAGGAGCAGCCCGGTTTAACCCTATCAAGTATGAATCTGTTTGTTTTCCCACAGCTTAAAGGCATCAATTCTCCTTCTATCCTCCCTAGTCATTGTCCAACTCTCTGACGCATAACAAGTGATTGCAAAGACTATGGCCTGTATTAGAGGCCCCTTAGTCTCCAGAGAGACACCATAATGAAAATAATTAACACTATAATTATCACAACTGGTGGCCTAGTAGGTAAGGAGTTGCTCCGCTGACCCAAAGGCCCACATTTCAAATCCATCCATTGTTCTTTGGGAGAAATGAGTAGTCTCCACCCATGGAATTTACAGCCTCTGAAAGCCCGCTGGAGCCTCAGTGACAAGTCAGCTCCAGCTCCATGGCATGTAACAACAACAGGGACAATATTTGTTTTAGCAACATCATATTTATTTACTAACAGGTGATCCTAATTAAGCCAATACTTTATAATAATTGCACTTAAAATTCTTATGCCAAAAGGACAAATAATATACAAGAGAAACAGAAAAACAGGAGAGTTACCAGGGCAGGGGGTGGGGGCCGGGAGAGCAGGAAAGGAATAGATACCTAATGACCCTGTATTGGAATAAGTGAAAAGAAGGTCAATTTGAGATGAAAGGGCCTTCAGGTTTTATGCATGTTGCACTAAGCAGTCTGAGCAGCACATGCAGTAGGAATGAGTGAATTGAAAAGTTAGTTTTGTAAACTTTCACTCAAATCACAAAGAAACCTCAAAGTCATGTTAGAATTTTTTAAAAAAAATTTAAATTGAGATATTAATCAAAGTTCATAGAGAATTTGGATTTCCATTCATTCATTGTTGCACATTTTCCTTGCTGCCCCCCCTTCGCTTTTCTCTTTGAAAAGGAAAAAATAAATTCTTTCATTGTTATACAATCTCCCCCTCCCATGTTCACTTTACTATGCAGCTCTTATTCTGAATTCTTGTCATGCAAATAATACCTAATCATATATTCCTTTTAAGCAGTTCTCTGCCTCATCTGTTTCAGTGCACTGTACATTTTTATTGTACTTTTTTCCATATAATTTTCAACAAAATTCTACCACCCTATTTTTTTAAC